TGTTTTCAATACCTGGAGTTTAAAGGAAATAACTTCTCTAAATGATCTTTATATAAACAATAAGTTCGCTTCATTTGAACAGTTAGCACAGACATTTGACATCCATAAGTCACAGTTCTCTACAATTAATACCATCAAAAGATTTTGAGAATCTGGAGAAATCTTTAAGTTTCAAAGACAAGGCTGAAAATCAACATTGCATGGCTGTGATCTGTGGGCCCTCAGGGGCCACTGCATTAAAACAGGTCTGATTGTATAATGAACAACACTGCATGGGCTCAGGAACACTTTCAGACAGCTTTAAACCCAGTTCACTGTGCCAGCTACAAATGCTAGTTAAAGCTCTATCATGCAAAGAAAGGAGCCTCATGTGAACACCGTTCAGAAACTGTGCTATCTTTTCTGGACCAAAGCTCATTAAAAATCGACTGAGGCAAAGCACAGAACTGTTTTATGGTTGGACAGATCCAAATCTTAGGTTATTTGGAAACCACAGTCTCTCATATAATGAGAGGAACCACTGAGTAAAGGTAACACGTTTATATTACTTAAGTCATTGTAATTTTAATGTAAACGTGTTGCCTTTACTTAATGCAGTTGAGTGGAAAAAGTTGATAATTTTTAAATTAAATCAAGTTTGATAGTTTTTGTGTGTATAAAAATATTTGTATTAAATTGAGTTCATCTTGACATTTGAGTGTAATTTCATAAGACAAACCTTCACATTATTTTAATTTGTGGCCAGAGAGAGGTACCTTATGTTGACGTAGTCTTTTTTTACRTCAGTTCTAATATTTTTGCTAAATAAATCGTTTAACGAGTGCAAATTCAAATAGATCAGCACCTTCTCACTGCAACTAGGTACATGTGATACAAGTATATTGTCTGTATTTTATGCCAAATCTATCGTTTTGCTTACATTTGGAGTTGTAACACTATGTAAATATGAAACACACTTGTATTTTGATTCAAATTAAACTTTGATATAAACCCAAAAGTATGGGTGRGCTTGAGAAGCTCCTGAACACAATTGTTTCAAACAGTAAGTTTAAAACCTGAACTTTAAACTAAACATGCCTTTTACAAACAGTAAACATGTTACGATTCATATTCTATTAAACTGAGTCTGACTTTAATTTAAAACTCTGACAACATTTTACAGATATAGAAGCAATTGTTAAACAATAAGAAGAGACAATACAAAGACAGGAATAAATCAAACTTTTATTTTTCCATATAGAAAAAATTAAGTGAAATAATGAAACAGTCCATCAAAAAGGCGGCATCTTAGTTTCAAACCAATGGTCCTTAATACATTAACCTTTGTCCCGAATGATTAAGAAAAAGATGTAACAAAGTGTAAATACTTTGTTCACAGTAATAAATATTGAAAACAAATTTTTATATTGAAAACAAATTTTTTATACATAACACACACACACACACATACACA